AGATATATTAATTTTTAAAAGATGAAAAAGACCTAAAATGATATATGTACATATACATATATAACTTACATATATGTATGTGTATGATTTATATATATAGCTTTGTACATATGCATGCATATACATACATATGAAAGAGTGCACATAATGTGGCCCCATTTGTGATTACTTCATTTATGCCCTGATACCCAAAACAAATGTATGTACATTTAGAATCCAATAGGATAAAATTAATAGAATAGTCTGGGTGACTATATGCTAAAGTATTAATAGTGATTCTGTCTGGGTAATAGGTTTACATGAGTATATATTTGTTAAACTCTTTGATGTTTTCTAATTTTTTTAATAATATGCATTATTTTTATATGATAGAAACTATGTTTAAAGAATGTTGGAGTTTGAGAATACCTTCAAATTATCAGATTCAACTTCACCTCTCCATAAAGCAAAAGTGCGCTGGCTTAAGGTTAACATAGTTCATTTCAAGCCAAAACCCAAACTCACCCTTGATAACCACGTTCTTGCTCCTTTTGCACTTGGGACAAGTTTTCTAGCAGACAATTTCTCAGTCACTCATGTAAATAGGTTTCTATTAGGCCTGTCTTGCAAAGTCTTCAAACATGGACCTGACACACCTGAATCATAGCCTTGGCCTGAGCTGGGACCACCACCATGTAGGTTTAAAGTTAAATTCAAATACAAGGTAGTTTATGCTGACTTGGGCAACGGTGCTGGAGGATATGAGGTGTAAGAACATAGTGTCCGTACGGGGATTGGTTCCAGGACTCCCATGGAGACCAAAATCTAAGGATGCTCAAGTCCCTGATGTAAAGTGATGTATAGTATTTGCATATAACCTACACACATCCTCTTATATACTTTAAATCATCTCCAGACTACTTATAATATCTAAAACCACATAAATGCTATCTAAATAGTTGTCAATACAATGTAAATGCTTGTAAATAGTTACTGACTTGTGGCAAGTTCAAATTTTGCTTTTTGGAACTTACTGGAAAAATATATTTGGACTTTGGTTGGTTGAATCTGGGGATACAGAACCTGCAGATACGGAGGGATGACTATTACCATGAACTGGAGTGGTCATGGAAAGGCAGGCAAGAAGAGCCTGCGCGTGTGTGCACACACACACACACACACACACACAGTAACACAAATAGGTAACACACACGCAACAGACATCAAAGGCACTGAGAGGGAATAATAATGATCAACATCAGGGCCACTGTTTGCAGCTCTGCAAGTCGTGCTCTGTAGATCTCCCGGGGTTAAGGGGACCATTTATATTAGGGACTTATAAGATTTTATGTGAATGGTGCCTCCCTGAAGATGTACAGTGCCCGATCTGTCCACTGGGGTCAGTGAACAGTTCAAAGGAGGGCCATAGTTTCAGGACAAATCCATTTCTTGGTGATGATTTACTATCATTGCTGTGCTAATGTTCCAAATGCATTTTGTAATATCTGTGGTGAATACATGTGTGTAAGAGAAAATTTAAAACCACACTGGTTAAGGGCTTTCGGACTTCTCTCTCAAATGAAAGAAGCTCTCTTTGTTGAAAAAAATATATATTCCAGTGAACCTTTAGTGTACTTTTAGGCTTATCAGTTTTATTTCTGTTGAAATCAGTCAGATTTTCTCAAAGTATTTCCTGGGAAATATAAAACCAATTATACATACACTGATGAAAATGTCTTTCCCACATTGACTGACATGAATCAGTTTATTCTTTCACTTCATTGCTTAAGATAATTACTTGTGTTCGGAAGACTGCCTCTCTTTCTTAGAAATTTCCAAGGCAGAATTTTGAACTGGATATGGTAGAGTTACCCTCAAGTTTCATGCAAAACTTTAGGGCTTAAGTTTGAATTCGAGAAGCCAGAACTCAGTATTATTTTTGAATAAAAACGGGGGATTCTTCCCCTTCCTGTTTTCCTTTCCCTTTCTTCTTGCTTTCCTTTCCTTTTTCTTCCCTCCCTGATTTGAAGTCAGCCTGGTGGCTGAGCAAGTAAATAAATAAGTATACTGGATATAGCCAGATTTCTCACTGCCAGAGAAGATATTTACAAATACAGAAGAAAGAAGGCTAGAAAGAACCCAGCAGTGTTGGATTGGAATTGAATATAGCAGTATAAACTTACGGTTTTATTATGTGTGTGTGTGTGTGTGTGTGTATAAATGTGTGTTTATATACATATGTGTATGTGTCTATATACTTATATTTTGTATATAATAGCTTTGTATATAATATTTTGTATATAATAGTTCTACCTTTTGGACTCAACAAGCAATAACACCCCAGTAGCAATGAGCACACTGAGTGCTCAGATCTTGATTTTTAAATACCATCCTTTCTAAAATGAACCAGGGCTCCTTGGAGAAATGGCTGATTTCAGGGTTTGGGGACAGGGAACATTCAAGATGAGCGTGGAACATCTTGCTGTGCCAGAACGTAAGAACATACGAAAGTCAACTTGAAGGACTGCCCACTTACCAAGTAGGGGAAATCCTGAGCATCAACATAGTAACAGATTAGAATCTATGACTCAATACTGACATAAATAAATCAGTAATAAATGTGGAAACAGAGGTGGTAGATTTAGGTGGGAATTAATAACGGATGCTCATGATGGTGAGGGGAGATTTGGTAAGAAATAAGATTTGGGTGTAGTTTTTAAAAAACCTCCCCACAAAGTACTAATCAATTACAAAAAGAAGCTAGTGAATTTGAGAGAAGCTTGTGAATAGACACCAACTTGGCCAGGTGATCAAGGCGAACATCTTCAGTGAGATGGTGCGCTTCCTTTGGTGATGCACAGAAAAGAGCACAGCATCCTTTTTGGGGTATTCTTGATGAGAATGCAGGGGCAGAGTTTGATCATGAGTTACTGGGTGAGCCCAGATAGAATTCCATTCTATAGAACGAAAAGCCTGCAATCCTTTTATACTATTACAATGTAAATGACAAAATACAGGAAAAGACTGTTTCAAGTTGGAGGATTCTGAAGTGACAACTAAATGATAATTAAATGCAAGGCATATTCCTGGACCAGAAGGAAAAAAAAAAAAGAGAGACATTATTGTGAAGCTGGCAAATTTGAAAGGAATCTGAGCGTTGGATCTGTGTGTGCTGATGGGAAGCTTTAGGTGCTGCTTTTGCAAGAGAATGTCCTTATTTTTGGAAACCCACTAGAGTGTTTAGGGATAATGAAATATCATATCTATCATTATCTTGGCTAATGATAGTAGGAATATGTATAAAGAACATGGACAATGGATATAAAATATTAACAAGTAGAGAATGCAAGGAAAGGAAATTCAGGACTTTTTTGTACTATTCTAGCAATTTTTTTAAGTTTAAATTATCTTCTTAAAAAATTATTTTTTAAAAAATAAATAGGGAAACTGAGAATGGTTTTTAGATAGTCTGAGGAATGGTAAGATAAATAGCAATGTTAACTTCACTCATTAAGTACCCAGCACTGTATGTACCTTATCTCTTATCTTTAGAAGAATCATCTAGACAGATACTGTTGTGGCTTCTTCAAAGGGGAGATAACAGAGGCTGAGAGAAATTAACTTAATTTTCCTGAAGTCACTCTGCTAGTAAGAGCAGAGACCACATTCAAACCCCTGGGACCTGATCCCTAAGCCCACACTCTCAGCCTCCATGCCATGCTGCTTCTGCCTGGAATGATCAAAAATGTATTACGTAACTAGTGTTATTATTAAGCACTTCTTGTGAACCGGATACAGTTGTAAGTGCTCTTATGTGGATTCTTTCCACTAAGCTCTCAAACTTCGTAGTCTCGATTTTTTTTTTTTTTACACAAACAAGACAGGTTTGATTGACACAGGTGAAAAGTGTGGGAGCCAGTATTTGGAACCCAGTCATATCTGGCTTTAAAGCTCCTGTTCATTTACATCAAGAAAAAGAGTAATTCTTTGCTGAATCATGATAGTGGACAAGAAGGGGCTGCTTTCAAGTTTTAGACCCTGGGCTTTCCATCTGTGCGAATTCTAAAATACCTTGGGAAGCACTTGATAATTACTCAGGACAGACTTGATTAGGGATTGTGCCTATGGACTAGGATACATTTTTAGGGGCCCACAAAAATGTTATCATTTATTTTAAAATCAGATTTAAAATGCATGTAGTCCAATCTGGACTATGTTTGTCTTAATAACAATGTAGAAATAACATAGACTTTTAAATATTTTTTCTATGTAGTAAGGGGCTCATGAAGGCAAAAAGAGCCTAGGGTCCATAAAAATTATAATATGGCCCAGCAAGTTGTATTTAAAAAAAAAACAGCAAAAATGAAAATGTATCTTGTTTAGGATACATACAGGCAACAATTAGCAAATGAATAGCTCTGAACTGTGGTTGAGTTCATGCAGAACAGATTACATTAAGATCTACTACAAGGGACAAATTGTATTCCCTTCAGGAAGTTGACAGTGATTAGCCACAGAGTGAAAAAAAACCTCAGCCCACGGGGAGAAGATATTAAAGTCCTACCTCAACACAGCAACACAATGAAGATGATGCTAGTCTTAACGTTTTGGAGGTGTCCTTTGATTGTGTTTTTGGTATCATGCGCTATTCTACAGATCTTTCAGTCTTTGCATGTGATAATATCACATTATGGTCAAAATTTTACTCATGATTTTACAGGCCAGCAACTGAAAGACTGGCCACGTGAAAAGAGGAGATAGGGATTTTTCTCTTTTTAACTGCAGAGTTCTCTGTTAGAGTATATTTTATTTTATCTTATTTTATTTATATTATTTATATTCCTTTAGCCAAACTGTTTTAAGCTAAAAGGGAAGTTACTGAATCACACAACCTAAAAGACCAAGGCTAGTCTGCTTGCAGGCACGGCTTGTTCAGGGCTTCAACAAAGTGACCAGGATCTGATATTTCTCCCTCTCTCAGCTTAGCTTAAATGTCCCCTGTGTGTTTCTTTCTCTCTCAGCCTGCATGAGATGGCAAGATGATGACAGAAATTTCGCATATAGAAGAAAGGAAAGATTTCCCCAGCATTTCCATAAAACTCTTAGATTTCATCTCATGGACCAGCTCCGGTGGCATGCCCACTTTCAGCCTCGTGTGTCCAGTGGTCACTGCCTGAGTCCTGTGTTATAAATTCTGCCCACGGTGAGACTGAGGGAGAAATGGATCCCTCAATGAAAAGTCAAGGTAAGCTAAAAGCTACCAACAAAAGCAAAACATCCAGAAGTCTCTGTATGCCCCCAGAGCAATGCCTTCAGCCTCTAGTGACATATTCCTGGGTGGTCTTTCTTAGTGTCAGGGACCCAAGCTCTAAAGTCAGAGTGCTTGGATCACCCCCTTGCCTGTTGGGTAGGTGATTTAACCATTCTATTCTTTAGTTTCCTCGTCTGTGAAATTAGGATAGTAACAGCATTTTCCTCACACTGATTTATAAGAATCCACATAAGTACCTGACATAGAACAACATTCAATAAAAGCTAAACTAGATTGCTGCTATTTTTAATCCTGAGGCACAGCATGAAATTTTGTAAAACACCACTATAATTATTAAAATATATGAAAATACTAGTATAATAAAAAACATTAAAAATTACTGTCATTACACTCACAGTCAAAAGATGATTATTTAATAAATTGTGGGGGGAAAAAGAGATGGAGGAAAACCATAGATTTTTTTAAAACTTAGACTTATTACCCAAAGTTAATATGTAGCTTGCATTTAGATCTTGATTCAAATTTTTAAAAAAATATTACTGTAATGGGACCGATGTAATGTGAAGTTTTGACATTGAGTAGGTATTTGATGATAGGAAGGAATTATTTAATTTTGTTATTGAGGTAATGCCATTGGGATTGTGTGTTTTAAAGTCCTTAATCATTTAGAGATAGATACTGTAATATTTATGAAATGATGTCATCTTGTGTGTGGGATTGCTCTCAAATTTGTTTTAAAAACAAAATAAAATAGTGTAGAAGCTGCGTGATGGAACATGGGAATTTGTTATTCTGCCAACTTTTGTATTTATTCAAAATTCTCCCTTTTAAAGAGTTAAAAAGAAAAAAAGAGAGGGTCACTCAGGGTTAAGAGGAGCTCAAAGACCGAACTCCTTCCTGCAGTTTCCTCACTTGTAATTGAGGGAGTTCAGCTAGATCAGTAGTTTCTCAAGCTTTAAAAGTTTTGGTAACAGGAAATGTTTTCTTTCAAATGAACTCTTCCACCCAGGTTCAATATCTGAAACAGATATATGCACAGCTGTGTGGTTGAAAAGAGAAAATTATAAGACAGCAGTGACCCTTCCCCACCAGAGATGATGATGATGATGATACTAAAAATCATTTATGGAGTGCTTACTATTTATCATAAGGCACCATGAGGAATACCAGGAACATGTTAATATCATTACTCCTCACAATAACCTGGGAGGGAGATGGGATCTTCATACCCAGGCTGTGGATGAGCAGCCTGAGGCCCAGGAAGACTGTGTCCAATATCCCACAGCTGGCAGTACATGGACTCCAAATCAGTCACTCACTGCATCGCACTTACGCACAGAGGTCTGAGCCCTCCTTCCCGGCCCAGCCTCCGGTGGTTTACATTTTCAGTTATTCTGACTTATTGACTAGGTTGATTGCTCCATGAAGACAGAAAATGACATGATGTTTTGTAATATAGCGTCAACTCTACTCCAATTTAAAATAAATAGACAGAGCAGACCTCCTCCCCTACAGCGCTCAAACTCCTGACACCTTCAAAGCAGGCTTTCGGGTGACCCATTGATCAAGACAGCAGAATCCATTACTCCTTCCTTCTCTTTTCATTAGACCATCACTCTGATGAAAATAAGCAAAGTAATTAAATAAACTCCAGCAGCTGCCTGATAGAAACCAGGAGACATCAAAGTCTCTCATGAATGTTACTAAGTAGGTCCACAGATCTGCCTTATGCCCATGTCATCCCGTTATTTTCCAAAACACTGTTATTGAGTGTGAATGCAGGAAAACTGGATGCACGTAAAACAAAACTGAACAGCCTTTATGTTGTTACCTAATGTATCAGCAACTTTTTAAGATCTGTTTTGCCAAATGAAATTCTTCACAATGGTGTTTTCTTAGGAATGGGCTGGTGACTCCATTGGCTTAAGGTCACTTGTCTCTTTCCCTAGGGTGCAGAGTGACCATCATTGCCATTTACTGCAAGGGATAGCTGTCCACAACTGGTCTGGCCTAGTCTCCTTTCCTTCCAAATATTTGCACAGATGTATCCACCCACCTCTGGGCAGCCTTCTTCCTTCACTCAGGATTTCAAAACTGAAATCTCATAATAACCCTGTTTTCTCCCAGCAAGCTTCCAATCAAGAGAACCACAAGATAAAAATGTAGACCTCACTGATCTCTATTCCCCTCTTCTCCACAGACCCCACTCCCCCACCTCAAAATGTCTTTGTCCCCCTCCTCCACACTCTCTTGGAAACTAATTCGATACTCACTTGAACAACCCCATCTGCCCTCCTCACCCCTTTTTTTTTAACTAGATAACTTTGTCTAGTTTTCTAAATTCAGATCGAGTCCTTTTCACGGCTGTAAAACTCATCACACTGTCGTGATATCCCCCAGTTAATATTTGCTTCCCCCTTAGCGACTTAAACTTCTCAGGGATGAGCTGTTCTTCAGCTCTGTCCAGGAGCCCAGAGAATGCTTGCTGTTAGGCCCTTAATAAAGATTTGGTCGGCTTCTCTTCAGAGAGTCTGTAAAGAGTTAAAAACGCCGACTGAAGACTGCTCAAGGGCTTTTGTTATTTACATATTTTATATCTTATATTTGGTTGTTTACACACACAGAGAATTCTTAGTAAAGGCAACTGATACTCAGAAGAAATTATCTATAAAAGGCATTGTTGTTACTTCTGAGCACTAAAACTCCCTTTTCTGGAATCTCTGTTAAAATATTGAATAGAATCAGAGGAAAATCGACACATCAAATGGAGTTTGCAACCATCAGCAGTTATGCCTACTGCGTTACACAAGTCCATATGTATTTACTGAGAACCTTTGTGTACCTGGCACTGTTGTGGCCATCCTGTGGGAATAAAATGGGGGAGTGAAAGGGCAATTTCTATTTGCAAGGATTTGATAATGTTTTATGGAAATCTAAGGGCTTGTCTTTGTTTCAGGAAACAGAGATTTTATGCCTTTATCTTATGGAAGCTGCCCCTCAGTGTCAGCCTGGACCAGTGATTCCCAGACATTTGTGTCTTTGGATCAGTAATGACATATCCCATAGTTGGGGGCTAACATGAGGATGTCAAGTAGAGACATTAAACACACACATCCATGCTAATTATTATCATTATTATTTCATAAAATTAAGGACATCTTAGTATTAAAAATAAAGAGATGGGGGAGGGTATAGCTCAAATGGTAGAGCACATGCTTAGCATGCACGAGGTCCTGGGGTCAATCCCAAGTACCTCCTCTAAAAAATAAATAAATAAGTGGACCTAATTACCTCTTCCCCCCCCACAAAAAAATAAAAAGTAAATAAATAAATAAAGGATAGAGGACAGTTCAGTGGATTAAATTATGACTTACAGAAAATTCATCATGTTCTGGTTTGTTTTTTTTTTCCCCAATTCAATGGGAGGTAACAGAAATTCCGCTCCTAGTCCCTGCCTGGAAACAGGCCTTGTGAGGGCTCTCAGTATGTGAAGTGCTTGTTTGTATTGTGTCTGAGGGAGACAGTGAGTGACTTGGCAGCTACAGGAATGTTAATCAAGATCTAGCACACTCAGGAGCCTTCTGTCTGCTCCCCGGAGCTGGTTTCCCAGCAAACATCAAGGCTGTTTGCCTCTGGCTCCTGGGAAAAGAGGACACGCTGCAGGAAGGAGATGAGGGAGGCTGTCACCTGCTGCTGGCACTGTCGGAAGTTTGTTGGGTGTGGAGAGGAAATGGTGTGAATTGCAGGAAAGTGTAAATCCTGAAAATGCCCCAGGGCACGGCGTTGAGCTCTGGGCTTCCCTGCATGTTGGCACAGCCTTCCCTTGTCTTCCTGGGCTGGGAGATTAGCCAGAAAGAGGCAGTAGGACCCCAAATGCTCCCCAAATGTGAGCCGACATTCCACGTCTCATTCAAGTGTTGTTTGGACTGGCATAGATACTGAGCTGGACGGGGTGATTGTGTGCAGCGTGGCCCATGGTTAGGAGCAAAGGATGCCAAGAAAGCTTTCTGTGAGTTTGCTAGACCTTTTCGAAGGTTCCAGATTTAGAGTTTTCTCACACATAGGCTACACCTCACGGTCAAGATCTGCTAAGGTAGCACGTGCAGATTCCAAATTAGGGAATGGCGTTGTTATTTCCACGTTATTCTTTACTGCTGAACAGGGAGTGGAAGGAAGAACCAGAACCGAGGGTGCCTTGGATGTACATGAGAGAGCACACTGGTGTAGAGAGCAGCGGGCCACATACGGCACTGCAAGTGCTCCAGCAGCCACTCCAAACAAAGTAAGAAGAAACAGTGAAATTAATATTAGATGTCTTAATATATGATAACATGTTCTTTAACCCAGAGAAACAGGATGAAACCAATTTTAATTATTTTAATAGCGTAGTATTTAACCCAATAGATGAAGAAATATCATTTCATCATGTAATCAACATGAACAACTATTATTGAGATATTTTACATTCTTATTTTGTACTGAGCGTTTGAAATCCAGGGTGTATTTGACACAGCACAATTCAGTTCACACTACCCACGTTTCAAGTGCTCAGTCACATGTGGCTAGTGGTCACCTTATTGGACTGTGCAAGTCTGGAAGTTAAAAGCAACCTGTTATTTTTTTACTTCAAAAACTTGTATTTTTCCTTCAGTGTCGAAGAGGAAAGTTTTCAGATATAATACAGGTTAATAACAGTATTGAATTTTCCCTTTTATTTTTAAGATGTGGACATACACAAAGAAAAGGTTGGGAAAGTTGCATGCCAAAGTAAAATGGCTACCTATGAGAAGTTTGATTAAAATAGTTTTTCCTTTTAATTTTTAGTCTTGATTTCCAGTATATTTTTTTCATAGTGGGTATGTAATATTTATATAATGGAGCTATAATAGGTGTAGTATTTATTCTATCAAAGAATTTGAAGCAAATGTGACAATGGGGATGACATTTGTTAGTTCTGAGTGATGACCAGACTAGGTGTTTAGAGCAGTGTTCACTGTACATTCACTATTTTAAAATATTTTATCTAATACAAAGATTAGAATTTCTTTAAAATCAGTATATTCTCATTAAAAATTAGAAAATTTAAGTAAGCAAAAGAAAAAGAACTGAATGCCTTGGAGATATATACATGTATATTATACATACTATATATATATATATATATATATATGAGTACTACGACCGAACGGACAACCAACGGG